GGAGCCGCCCAGGAGGCGGGAGCCCGAGGAGCTGGGCGCCTCCGAGGTGCTGCTGCAGCCCGGGCGCCTGGAGCTGGGCGACGTGGAGGAGGACCAGGTGGTGGCCGTGTTCGTGGTCACCTTCGATCCCCGCTCGGGTGAGAGACGCTCCGGGGGGGAGGGGGGCGAGGAGAGGGTCGCCCACCCCCGGGCTTTGGGGGCGGCGGGGGGAGGGGCTCGCTGCGCGCGCACCCGCACACCTGCACCCCCCCCCCACCCCGCCGCCGGGTTCCCTCGGAGCGAGCAGAGTGCCCCCGCGAGGTCTGGGCGCGGGGCTTTGTTCCCTGCGCCCTCCGAACCCCTCTTCTTCCCGTCCCGCGGCCTCCCAGCAGAGCCGCGCTCCGCGCCCCGCTCCCCATAGCCTTGTTTGCACTTCTCCAGTGCGGGAGGATCCTGTTTGCGGCCCCGGGCGCGCTGGCTTTTGTTTTCTTGCTTGGCTGAAAGGTTTTTTCCTTCAAGAGCAGAAACGCCCCCCAGGTGAACTCCTGAAACGGATTGTATTGAGCTTCCAGGTTCTCTGCTTCCCCGCCCTCGCTCCCCATCACTCACCCCCGCACGGTAACTTTCCAAGCGGCCAAGTTCACTTGCTCTGACAGCATCGTTTGGAGGAATTAGTGCAGGGAGCATTAAGGGATGGGACTGGGGGATTAAGCCGGAGACGGATTAAAGGAGAAGCCTCCTCAACTAGACTCTTTCTGGTTGATTTGGAGAATCAAAGGGTTATCTAAAATAATCTTGGGCTTAGCCACCCAGGAAGGAAGTGTCCAAGTGAACGGTAAGAGACTTCATGGGGGTTCAAAAGTGAGTAAATACGCTCTCTCGGAAAGCCTCAGGTGGTCGGTGAGGGGGCTCAAGGCCCAGCGCATCTGCTCTCAGCACTGAAGGAAGGAGGGCTGGTAGTCCGGGGTCTGGGGTTTTAGGAAACCCAGGTGTTTCTTTCTCACCCTAACTCCCCAATGGAGTCCTGGAATGTGGAGTGCCTCTTAGTGAAGGAAAAGAGCTGCTTCCTCCTGGTCCTCCAAGGATGGGTTCTGAAGAACCGGATGGGTTGCCAGGGGATGGGAGGGGAAGGGTTGGGATCTTCAGATGGCAGAAGACACAGTTTCCTGGCCGGGTCACCGAACTAGGGCCAGGGATTATAAACCAGCACGACTCAGAAAGAAATAGTGCCAACAGGTGGAGGGACTAGGCCTTTCTGACTCCTTTCTGTTCCTTGTCCCTGTGGCTTTCAGACTTTTTTGACTGTGACCCACTGTTGGAGATTAATTTCATATCACAGTCAGTGCACTCACACACACTTAACTGAAGTTTTATGAGGTAATACTAACCCCCTTCTACACATAGTACATACTGGTATTTTCTACTGTTTTTTTTTTTTCTTTTTTATTGTTATGTTAATCCCCATACATTACATCATTAGTTTTATTTTATTTTTTTTTAAAGATTTTATTTATTTATTTA